TTAGAATATACAGTATTTTTAAAATATATGTATTATGAAAAGCTTTATAACATTTATGATTTCTAAAGTAATGTTAGATTGTGTTTCTGCATGAAAGTGGTAAGTAAATAGAATTGATACAACTCAATCCCATTTACTAGTAACCATGCTGAAAGAGCATTTAATAATTTCTGTCATTAACTTTATAATCTGTCATCATCTTGGTGAACAATATAATTGGATTGCTGTATGTTCGATTTCAATGCAAAAACATCTTTGTAATCCAAAAATTATGGTAGACTGTCTCACAGCAATTGCATTTTGGTGAATTTCTTTCAAAACATAGAATTGTAAACTGGGTAAATTACATGTTTTATTGCCTTTCACATTAGTGAAATATTAAATTTAATTAAGACTGGTTCTGGTTCTATTAGTTATTTAAAATCTTTGAAATTTCTAGAATTTTACCATTATTTTTCACCATGAAGTAATTTCTGCAAAATAAAAATGTTTACACAATCTATTATTTATATAAAAGATTTAATGGGCATCTAATTTAATAATTACTTCAAGACTTAGAGAAGATAATTTTTAAATTTTGCTTACTTTATTTCACTTTACAGCTTGTTTTTTTCTTGGTAAAGAAAAATATTAAATTAATAGTTTAATTCTTTAAAAAGTCTAAAATTTTCTATGATCATCTTGAAGCTCCCATTAAGATTTTACATGTTTCATTATTTCTTTGATATTATGATCAACACAATACATAATGCAAGTAGAAAGCAAGATGATTCCAACAAGATAAGAGAAAAATCCAAAATATTTTTTAGATTTTTACTCTTGTTTCTAGAAAAATGACATGAAAAATTTTACTACCATTTTCAAAACTGTGATCTGATAGGTCATCAGATATTAAGAAAAGAATGATTTTGTGGTATAGTAATAAATGTTATTCTTATAAAGGATATTAAAATTGATGTTTAGAGATATTTTACTTAGTAAATGCTAAATAAAGGAGCAGGAAGTTAGACATAGAACAAAGGATATCATTCATTTAAATGAAATTATGACATCAGAATAGAATTTTGGAATGGAGTGGCAAATTTTTGTTTTTATTTTCTTTTTATAAACATAAGCATCTTAAATATGATTTTGTATTCTTTTGATACTTTATTTATTACAAATGTATTCTTAGCTCTATATGCTTATACAACCACTTTTCATCTTATTATCTGTTAACAATTACGAGAAAATAAGAATATTAATTTTTCATCTTAGAAATAGTGTTGAGAAACTTTCAATGTACTATTTTAGTAACCAAATAAAATCCAAAAAATTGTTGTAATCAGTTTTTATAATTTCCTTCACAGCATTATTCTGACTTATATCATGTACTAAAGAGCAAATAAGGCAAAACAAAGAAAGAAAGATTTTACATTTCATCATGTTGTCAGGGAAGAATTAGCTTAGTTACTTCTTTGTTTTGTAAGAAATAAAAATAATGCAAAAATTGCTCATGAACATTCTGTATCTTAGATTTTATATTCTTAATAGACTTGTAGTTATTTACCCAAGAGATTACCAAAGTAGAATTTAGAATCTTGGTGAAAATATATAACCTAATGGTAAGTAATTTTAAATACATAGAGTGTAACAATATTATCCTAAATAAATTTGAGGACAGTTAATTTTAACTTAGTAATAGAATGATATCATACCTTTTAAAAGACAGAAGTTTTTTACTTGTCACTTATTTTTAACCAGAGTGTAAAAAATAAGCTTCAAGTTAAAAAAAAAAGTGCCAAGTAGATTGGTCTTTCACAACAAGTAAAACTGATTTTCACATATTGGTTAATATCGTGCACATTTAAACAATTAAGAATGTGAATGTGATGCCATTAGACAAAATATGTCTATAATGATGTAAGAGATTATATAAATTTATTTGTAAAAGAATAATGTGTGTACAGAAATTAAATCAACATTACTCTAAAGAGCAATTTAAAAGTATTTTTTCAAATTTAAGGAAATTTGGTGTGTTGTCATTTATCATCTTTTTCAGATTAAAATAATAACTGACTGTCTTGTCGAACCTGACTATCAGTTATGACTTGATGGAGTTGCGATTAATGTCTTAGTTATTTGAAAACAAAAAATATTTTTTAACATGAAATCCTATCATATATCCAAATACATTAACATTTTTGAACAAGCATTTATCCATACAATGGATTGGTTTGGAGTAATTTCCAAGTCAATATGATTATCAGATTTAAACTCTTTCAAAGTTTTTCTTTAAGGTTTGTGAAAAACAGCTAATTTACTATTACCAATGTAGGTAATGTTAAATATTTAGAAAACTGTAAGTAGACAACAACTGTCTGAAGTCATCATTGATCAATGCAAAATATTTTAAAAAACTCAATTATTTCTTGATATGTGAAAGGCAACAAATGCATATTTACTTAAGTATCATTAATTACAATAGAAAAACTCTTGAAGTTATTCTTCACAGTAATATAGACTTAATTTTTAAATACCAATGATTATTTTTCCTGAAGATTGAAACAATATTTCAGTCTATAGAATCATTTACACATTTAGTAGAATGAATTACTGTTGCAGCTTAGTACAGTGAGAAAATCCATTTGAATTAAAATTTTGGCAGATGAAATCGGAAGACCATTTCATAAATTATCATAAATAATTAAATATATTAGCATCAATATTAGGTATACAAGACTGCTTAAATGCTGTATAGAGAAAACTTAAGTTTATTAAACTCAAAGGAAGGTGTTGGAATAAGAACTCTTTATGTAAATAATTATAATCATTCTTTATTATTTAATGTATGAATTAATGAAGATATGAGCAAAAAATTATTACACCATTGAACATTTTAAGAAAATGCAATTTGTTATATCTTACATAATCAATTACCATATTTTATACAATTTATGATCATTGATAATAATTGGAGCCTGATTTACATACTAAATAACATTACAAAATCAAATTCTAACTCTAAATCTTAAATATTGTAACGTAGTGAATTTTTATATTTATTTTTTATTAATATGATAATATTACTGATTTTATGTATTTTTCTTACCAAAAAAGTAAAAAAACAATATCAATATTGAACATTATGTTATAATATACATTGGTATTTTATGTTGAAAAATTGACTTATATCATACTAAACATTTATTTCTTACATGCACAAGATTTATTATAAATATTTTAAATAGAAAAAATAATTATTTATGTGAAGTATTTTATTACCTTCAGATGTGACATTACAGCATTCAAATAAATCCTATCTCAGAAGAGATTCGTTCTTTCGTATTTTTACATAGTTTGATTTGGTTATACTTAACAAGGCATTTTATTATAGGAAATATAATTTATGCAAGCTTCCTATTAACTGTGCAGTACATTAGCATATTTACATAATAATGTACAAATGTGTTTCCTAATGTATATGTAAGTTTTTTAAAAAATCCAGCTGAGTTTTTTATTATTCAAATTATGATTTATTTAGCATTTTTATTCTTTATATACTTATATTAAAGTGTCATATAGAAGTGTTAGATAACAAGAAAAAGAATAACAATAAAAGATCATTGGCAAATTATGACCACTTAAGAACTAATATAAAGCAATTATTGAACAAGTTCAACTTAAGAAGTTAATCATAAATAATTTTTAAATGTGTTCAAATTATACATTGAACACATTTAAAAAATTATTCAAAAACACAGTCATCACACACACTCAATTCAAAAAAAAAAAAAAAATGCTCATATGTTTAAATAATTTTCTTTTTTGAATCAAACATGTATGGTTTATAGTTATAATTCTAGAATTTTTTAGCTTCTGTATTAAACTGGAAGCTCATAATGGCTAATTAAATTTGCCCGAAATGTTTTTTATTATATAAATATTATACTGCATATTAAATGCTTTAGTTTCTTGATTGCCAAACAGGAATAAATTTTAATTTGTGTAATATAATGCTAAGTAATCATATATAACTTATATGTTAGATACTCAATATAAATAATTTATTATATCACTATATACAACTGTATTTCATACTGCAAATTTGTAAAAATGTTGTATATTATTTTATTTTCTTATTATATTTTTCATTAAAAATTACAAAACTCTTAAAAATAATATTATTAAATTATAATATCATTCTTAAAATGTCAAATGTTAAAGTACAGAATACTCAGAAGTGGGATGTGTTATAAATCAAAATTCTGTTAACGTCCTGTAAACATTGAAAAAAAATCATAATTTTCTCATTAAGAATTAGTAAAATATTATAATTTACTAATTCTTAAAAAGAAAATTACGACCACTTATCAATAAATACCAAATTCACGATGCCAACTTTAAGCTCAGTATAATAAATATTATAATGTTTATTATTGCTTTTAAATTATCAAATTTAACTATAAAATTAATTTAATCTGATTTGAAAAAAGGAAATAATTGTTATAATTGTTACATAAAGTTTTAGTAAGATAAAATGTAAGAGCAAAAAAAAAAAAAAAAATAGTTTTTAACTATAATAGTTAGGCTAAAATAAGCATTGAATGCATTCACCAGCTGCTTTATAGTCAGACATTCCATACAATAGTGCCGAACCATCTGGCCTTGGTGAGGTAGAAAGGAAACAGAAATGTTCGGAGCAAATACAATAGAGGAATAGGAGCACTTGTGGCCCAGAGAGATAGAAGAAAAAAGAATTTTTAAGTTCTGGGGACTAAGAATGATAGACATTGTGCATTTAAGAATAAAAAAAAATTTTTTTTGCAATCAAGTATATTACTACAGGAAAACTTTCAATTTATATAAAACAAATACAACAATTTTACAAGATTAAAATATATTCCTTTGAAATAAAATTTAATCTACAATTTATCAATCAAATCCTGCCAAATCTGAAGTGATTTAAAATGCAATAATTCAATAAAGAAATTTAAAAAAAATCATGTTCAAAAGGATACATTTCCTGAAAGAAGTCAATGTGCGGTGGCTGAAGGATATCCAAAGCTGACAAAACCTGTAAAAATATTTGTTATAAATTTAGTTTTTAAAACTAATTTCTCAATAGATTTTTATAATTTTATATCAAAAATCCCATTAACTATCTTAATTTTATCTTTAAAGCAATTTAACCAACCACTAAATTATAAAATGACACTCATTTCTTCACAACATACTTAAACTTTTAAAATAATTTCTTAAAACTTTACTTTTAAATGACAAATAGAATTTAACAAAATAAATCTTACATTTAAAGCTTTAATGCATAATATATAAAACAATTGTCAATAGGATTCTGTTAACAATTCTAACCCACTAACTGCCAAATCAAACAAGGAAGAGGATAACTTAATCAACAACTACTCAAAGTTCTAATTGAAAGTATTTTTGCGACAGTTCCACAAGGATTTAGAATAATAAAAGTTAATATCCGCCAGAGAAAAATCCGGCCAAGAAAATCGCCGGCCTCTCTCCGCCGCTACTTAATCCTCGGAATATTCTCTGCAAATTAAGTATAAATTTACGAATTTAATTAAATATAACATAAATAATTAAAATTTATAATCTTACGAATAAAAATAAATTTTGCCATCTCCCCCAGAGATTGATAAATATGTAACTAACTAATATAAAATGTAGAGATTTGCTATAAAGTAAATACTTAAGTCTCTTATAACAGCTTAATTTGTAGCAAATATTAAAAAATTAAATAATTTCTTAATTAAAATTAAAGTAAAATTTAACTATAGAACAAAAATATATACACATTTGTTTAATAAATTTTCATGATTAAATTATAGAAAGTTTACCAACTCACAGGATCAGATAGAGCTTATTCAATTATTATTCTGATAGAAATTTTGCACACAATGTTTTCTGTTATAACCAAACTTTTTAATTTGCACAATCAAATTCTCTTTTGTTCAAATGTTTTCAATATATTTTCTAGCGCATATTAAATTTTTTACTAAATTAGTTTTGAGATTTAATTCAATCATTGGGGAAAAATTTTGGAAGAAAAGATCGGCCCGAAAGGAGACCGAAATCCGTAACTTCCGCTCCGTCTTCCATCCGATCTTCGCTCCTAAATTTTTGGTTCCGTTCCTCGTCGCCCGGCCTCCCACTACGGGCCCGGTCGAGCCGGTAACGGACTCGCTAAAAAATTCCTCTTAGTGCCCACGAGCCGGATTAAAAAAATAACCTCCTACATTTAGACCAAATGCAGGACTTAAATCCTTTTAGCAAGCATTTTTGACGGTTAAATTTTAAAGTAAAAGTAGACTGTAACGAGGAGACTTAATATCAAATTTTTAATAAAAAATATAAGAAAAAATACTTCTGTGTTGACTGATAACAGAATTAATGAGGTAAAATTCGGTAATCAGAAAAATTTATTCCTACAATAAGATATATACCACGACCAGTAGTAACAAATTTATCATATATTTAAGAACTTAATTACTTCATTAAATAATTAAAATTCAGAAACAGCTACAAAAATTATGATTTTGGAGGAGATTTGAATCCATAGATAACATCTATGGAAATAGAACATCTCGGATGGAGATTTGATTAGGCAACTTTTCAAGTGGGGAACAAAATACCGATATTTCACATTTGAACGGCACGGTTACCACATCCAAATATTTAGAATCCGACTTATTTAAACCTATATAAACTTAAGCAGACATACAACGCTTACTCCCATTTACAATAACAAATTGCGGGACACTACACGAATAATAATAATCCGATCGAGTAAATACGCAGTTTTAGATCAAATTTATTGCCAACCAAAATAAAATATGGCATATTAAATGTAAAATGACAAGAAAATAACAAGCAAATTTATTTAACTTTTAAAAGCAAAATAATCAAGATTTCCGTAATTAATAACTTTCCGTATTGTCTTATATTCGTATTTAAAGGACTTAATCCCTTTTTAATTACGAACATTTTACGCTCAACGAGCTTAGGACAGATTCGCGCGGACCATATTTTAGGGCCCGGCGCTACCGGGAAACAGTTTAGGGGCTGGCACCGAAATTTACTATTATTTGACGGAGAAGGGCATCTCGAGCGTTACGGCTCTGGGAAACAACTAGTCTCTATCTGGTCTAGAATAGGTTTAACTATAAATTAAATTGCATTTTATGTAATTTTAATTACAAAATTATCAAACTAAATATAATTTATCAAATATGTCGCTTTATCATGACTCGAGTTAATTTAGATTTTAACAAATTGGTGAGTCATTATTTTATATTAAACGTAACGACATTCTTAAGAATAAGATTCTGACTAATTTTAAGTCACGCGATAGCCGAACAGCGATTAACAGAAGTCAGAAAATTGATCGAAACTAACCTAAATTGTTTTTGGGGTTAAAAACGGAATTTTGAAATAATTTTTGCTCTAAAAATCCCGTTTAGAGGGGGAATCGAGCGTTAAAAATACGCGAATTTTATTATTATTTTTAGCAAAGAAAAATATGTGATTAAAATGATATACTCCTAGCTACAGACATAGATTTTTAAGAACGAAACGACGGGATATCAATCGAAATGCTGGGAAAAGTTTTAAGAATATAGCAACTTAAACTCGATTATATAGAAATCTTCTTATATCTTTGCAAATCATTCGTCAAACAAGCGGAGGGAGCGCGAAACCAAGAATTACAATCATAATACTTCCGGAGGAACGTACCATCCACGCGTACGGGGGAGAGTAAATTCGCGGCTTATCTACATTCACTGGCGCGCTATCGTCTTCGCGCTTTATACATAAATATATTTATATTTTTGACTTAAAATTCCGCAAAAACAAATAGAATTACATTTTATGTAATCTATTATTATTTTGCTAATTAACTTCTGCTTAATTGTAACGTATAAAGTTCGAACACGGCGCGGTACTACAAGCGCCGAATATATTACGCGGATGTTAGTATTTTTAGCCAAGTATACGTTACGAATTTTGACGTTTAAACGTATGTTTGTATGTATTACGGTGTTACGCGTTGTACAGAATGCGAAAGTATTCCGAGTACGGATGCTGGCGGGTATAGGGAAGTCGACATTTTTGCGTTAAATACTTTCCTTATTTTCCGGGACGAATCGACTTATAACTAAACTCGATACGGTTAAAAATGCTAGGAAATTTAGCATTTCTCGAAAGAACACGCGGAAACGGTTCCACTTATTGGTGACGTCGTGTACGAGGAAGTAACGTGTCGAATTGAATTATTTAAATAGAAGCCGTCGGTTTCTTTTTTAATTTTCCCCTTTCGGCGGATTACAGACATTTTTTAAATAATTTCGTTTCGAGTTTTATCGGCCAATTTTCGGCAATTCATTTATTTTTTCGGGGTGGGATGAGGCGATTTTTGGCGGGAAGTACGAATAAAAAAAACAAAAACTGGAAAGAAACGTCGAGAACTACCGCATTATTATCGATTCCTCGGCAGTGGGCCTCCGGTGCGCCCGGTAGAAGGACACGAACTGTAGTAGAAGTATCCAAAAATACGGTAAAAAGATTAGAAAAATAGCTGTGTTGGGTGTCCCAATAAGTGACGAAACGGTTCCGTTACGCGCAGGTTTTTTAAATAAAAATGTAAGATAAGGTTGGAGCATTTCGACAGAAGCAAAACAAATGAATCGAGTAAATGCGGGCGTCTAAAACCCTGCAAAAGTTTTGAAACATTTATGATGTTGCCATTTGGGTTAATAAAGAGAGTGCCATTACGCGTCTCGTTCACCTGTTACTAATTAAAACAAACCAACGGGTAATCCTGTTTTGTTGCTACAAAATGCAATTTCATCGAAATAAACCGAACGACCTTCGCGTACAACGGCGATATAAATGATACTATGTTAAACTGTGGTCGTAGACGTCGTTAATTGGCAAATTTTGCAATGCTATTTGTCAACCATCATTAATTAAAGTGAGGGATAATAACGAGTCGGTGCGGCTTCGATTTTATTAAACAATATGCCCAATTCTGAAGCTCGTCCCTCCAGGTTTCTCACGTATTTTCCCATAATTTTACTGCGTTTAATTTAAACAAAACTACTTCAAACTACCAGCTTCGCACGAATCTACTCCCCTTTAAAAATTTTTGAAGAAATAAAAATTGATTGAACAGACCTATATCGCCATATACGGAATGTTACGTAGTCACATAAGCGAAATTGTCTATCTGTTACGCTCTGTATCTAAAGAATTATAGTATTTACGGCATTTTGCTTCTATTAAAAAGAAACTATTTTCGTGTTATTTTACTATTTATCTTCTTTTTTAATGAAGTAGCGGCGGTGTGCCACGAGCCCAGTACGGAATCGATTAAAAATAAATCACCTTGATTTAAAAAAATCGATATATTGTGGGAAAATATACTTTGCTCGAAAAAAATCGCCAAGATTTTTAGAATTTCACTCGTTAAACGTAATATTTTACTTTTTTTTCTTTAAAAAAAAGGGAAAACAATGGAGTAAACAATGCGGGACATCCCCCGTTCTAAACTCGTCGCTCGACGACGGCTACTTTTTTAATATGCCCGTCTTCGGAGGTTGGAAAAGGGACATTTTGTACCACCGGATGTTTCTGCTTGGCCACACGGCGGTCCCCATAAAGGGGCCTCATGTCTCTGGGGCGTCAGGTCAGAGCCCCAATTCCGAGCGATAAAGAAAACCGATGGCTAGTCCATCTCGAACCTTCGAAACCGATATTTAGACACACTCGCTTTTTCTCTCACACGCGTTTATTACAGAATAAAAGCGTCAAATAAACAATTATCCGAACACGCGGAGTAGCGGGTAACATGGTTAATTTGTAAACGCGGCGTGGAGAAAACACGAAAAAAATAAATAAATACTTACGTTTTCGTGTTTAAAATAGCAGAGCATTTTGATCTCCCTATAAACACGTTTACTAGAGACAAGATTCTGGAAGACATTTGGCATTTTCTTCAAAGCTACTCTTTTTCCATCTCTTGGATCTGTAACAGACCTGCAATACACAAAAAGAAAAAAAATGGAAGCTTATCAGTTACACGTGATATTCTTAAATAGATTAAATGCCAATAAATCTAAGTGTTTAATTTTATTTTTTGGTTAAAAGATGAACACGGCTAAAAGAGGTCAAGGTTAAAAAAAACTGTATGTATGTATACGAAATCTATTCAGGTCAGTTAATCGCTCGTAGGTGGAGTTGTGTCAAGCAAGGTCGCAGGTGATGCACAAAATCAACAAATAGATGGATTTACGTTGTTGGAGCGTAATAAGAGACGACGATATCCAAAATGCCAGATAAAATGGGCGATAACGTAGTTCGAGATAAATAATTCTTTATTTTATTTTTCAACTGTATACCTATTGCGTTACGGATCGAAGACAATCTCTACGATGGCCTTCGACGAATTTAAACCGGCATTGACTAACACAACCACACGTACGTATGCGTACGTTGTTGTTTTAGCCAAACACATACGCGCACGCTAAAGAGAGAAAAATAAATTTTAAAGGGCCTATTTACATACTTTCTTCGGTATTTTAGGATGTTATAAGAACTTAACTACTTTTTATTTAGTTTTCTTATCTTCCATTTAAGAAAATCTAATATAAAATTATAAGGCGGGCTCTTGATAGAGCGACTACCCGATATAGCGAACAACGTTTTAGGTACTCGATATTACGGCGAATGTACAGTACACTAAATCGAGGGTTCGACAGAACAATAAGTACCGACATTGTTCGCTGTATCGGGTGATGAGTACGAGGGTAATTGCTCTATATAGCGAAATCTCAAAGGACTAAGTTAAATCACTCGCTACATATATTGACCCTCGCTGCTCTTCTTCGCGTTACTTTCGATATAATTGCACTATATACGCTATATGGAGATTCCATCGCGTACGGTGGTTAAAACACGAACTCGATACATAAATTTTCAAAAATTCGCCATCAAAATTTATATCCGAGTCATCGTCATCATTAATAGAACTATTCAATCCTAATGACGATGATTGAATATAAGTTTTAATAACGAGTGCACGGACCGTTCATAATTGTGATTACGAATGCTCCGTGCACTTTCTTTAATAGTCAAATTATAAAATTTAATTATTTTTTAAAAAATAAGCCTTAAGCTGCTCGCCTTCGAAACAAAAATCTTAATTTCATTGTAAAGAATTTCATCGAGAAACTACAGGTCCGTTTGATTGGTTAGGATGGTGCGCATTTCTACGTAAATTTGACGTCATTCTTTCGAATTTTGCATTGTAAAACTGAAGTAATGACGTGAAATTGACGTAAATATGTGCACTATTCCAATCAATCGTACATTATAACGATTATATATATATATAATTAACTATTCGATTAAATTCTCCATCTCCAGTATTTATCCGTAGAAAAAAAATATATATATATTTCTACGGATAAATACTAAAGAATTTAATCGAATAGTTTTGCGCCAACTTTTCAAATTTTACAATAGGATACTTTAGGAAGTTATTAATTTTTCAAAATGCCAATATTCTCTATTTTATAGGTCCCTCCAAGCGCAAATCCTGAATTTTCAAGCGCAAATAAGCGTAGTCATATATGTACTTTAATTGGTTTGTAGCACAAACACCGCAAAAAAAAAGTTGTAAAATACGACGCCATTTCTGCTTTTCGGCCGCCATTTTTAATCACCGGAGCGGCTCGCTACGTCACAAATTGCGCATCGGGACGATCACGTGACGGCAGACAATACGAAACCCGCATTCGAATTATTTAATTATTTTAAAAAGTAAATGCGAAACTGAAACGCGGACGATCTTCGTTAAGCTCATTTTAGAAATTCGTTTCGCCAATTGTCGTATTGCAGTATTTTCAAATCGATTCGTACATCAAATTTCAAATAACGTACAAAAGTACGATGCGTGAAGGCTCCTAAAGCGTGTCACGCGTGAGCCACGTGACCAGATTTTTAAAATTCCCATTCATTAATTAACCACGTACTGTACGTATCGATCGCTATCGCTAAGTCTATCGACGCGATTTGAAGGAATGTTTACCTACTTCCTTTCGATTTTAGGATTCGAAAGTGTTCTCATTTTTTTCCTTTATTTTTTTCTCTCTCTCTCTCTCATCGGGGATTTAGGCGATCGCGATATTTGTCACGAGGTCATTCGCGATGTTGACGTAAAGCGACACGCGCTCGGATGACGAAGCGCCCTTTCGTGACGTCACACGAATCGCATCTGATTTATTAAGTTTGACCGAATACTTTCTAAAACAGTTGCAGATGTAATGATAGGAAAAAATAGGGCAGTAGGCAAAAGTCTATTATCTTAAACGCATTTTTTCAGGACATTGTCCTCGATAGATATTTAAAATACACAAGAATCATTTCCACCAATAAGATTTTTTAAAAAATTAAGGAAAATTTTTGACCAATCGTCGACTTTCGTTTCGTCGTCCGCCTGGAGTAGAAATACAATTTTTTTTTAAAATATTCGTCCGCACCGAAATAAAATTAATAAATATATAAATACATTTTTTCATTTTTAATAATTTCTAAAATAAAAATTTTCGTTAAATCCGTAGAATTTTTTTAAAAAAGAAATTATCGGCCAACGTCACCGCGTTAGGTCGTTGATACCGTCGTTAGCGCACGCAACGACGTCACACGCGCGTCGTAATACGTAATCGAAGAAAGGGCACGTAATTGGCGGCGACGCTTGCGTCATATTAATCGATCGCATCCAAACGCAGAAATAGGAACCCGGCGTGCTTCCTATACGGTGGCCATTTTTAAAATTTTATTAATAGCTCCTACGGTCGTTAAGAAAGGAAGAAAGATAAATAAAGAAAAAAAAAAATTAAACAACGAAGTGAGAGAGAGTTTTTTTTTTCCAGAGTTCGCTCAGCTTTGGCTAATAACCCGTTCTCGCATCCCGCTTCACCTGACTCGGCAACGCACGACGATTCCCAGCATTCTTAGCGCCAATAGCCGCTGGGGTTATTCAAGGTCAAACGGCAAGACGACCGACCTCGAGGGGTGTATTTTGTCGACGCAGAAAACTCGAAAAGAATGACAAAAAACACACGTCCCAACGAGGAATATCGGAATATTCCAGATATGCCAATTATTCGTCGGGATTAAGAAACATTTCGGTCGACTTCTGAGAAGCAGGACGTTGCACCGCATTGATTGTCGGGTCTTCGACACCGCGTCGTACCAACAACCTTGAACTCTCGCGCATCTCGACAGCTGTGTCATCGCACCGTCCGAGGCTGCCAAACAACACCACGCACCGCCCGGCGGTTCATCAGCCCCTGAGCCCAAAACTTTTCTTCATAATATAAGCCTACGCGGCACCAAAATATTCTCGAAAATCGGCGGCACCCCGTTTAACAATGGAAATTGATTCGACCGGTGACTCCATCTGACGGCGGATGGCGCCACTAATTTGTTACGACCAGCTTTACGCGGCTCGATTGACGTTTCTTTTTTTTCCCGAGCGAAAAAAAGGAGGGCACGCGCGTAAAACACCGCGTTTTCGGTTGTGGTCGTCGGTGGCCGCCGCTATACCGGGGAGATCCCGCTTTGACGTCACACAAACTGGTCTCGGTTTGACCTAATTTCTTAAAGAGAACGGGAAGTTGCGGTGCGTCCCATTTTTATTCCCCAATTACTTTTCCTTTCGGCACACATTTCGATCGTTTCCAGTAGATGCGATAAGGCGGAATGACGTTAGGACCGTAAATTCTTCCCCCCTGAGATAATGTGTTCGAACACAGAAAGCGTGCTCCTTCCTACATCTTTTGAATAAAATAATACCGCGTAACAGAATTTCGGAGTACGACTCAAACGGAGACAAGGCTACACGCTACAATACAAAAACACACGATTAAGTAAATACTATATACAGAAGTTAAAAAAAAAAAAAAAAAACAATAGGCCTACGCGACGCGCTGCGATGCAAAACCATTGTAAAATATTACACATCCTCAAACAATACGAGGACACGTTACACACTCCGCAAACATTACGCACGTAGATAACAATACGCTGCAATGAAGGATATTAGCAAACACAAACACAACACGTGCGAGTACTGTATTTGGAGTGTCTACGCTACATCCTCGGTGTGACTTATTTGCATAATGTTTGCTTAGTGTCTAATAAGTCCGCGTATTGTCTGTCGAGGCACCGTAGTGTTGCATCCTCGGTGTAATGCTCGTCAATCTTACAATGGTTCTGTGTTGTAATATAATGTTGCATCTGTTAGCGGTTTCTATAGCCACTAGTGGGATACCGCGTACATGTGTGTAATATCGAGGATATATATAAAGGGGTTCACGCGCGTGTAAGTTATTAAGAGCACACGAGTTAAATGACGGTGCGGGTGTTTTTATTTACAGTTTATAGTCGGTTGGAAACGTGTCTCTCTCTGGCCATACCAGCCGCTAACGGGTCCTCGCTTTTTAAAGAGGCACACATGCGATCCTTATCCATCTGTTTGCCCCACTTACGAAATTACCTGGTAAATAGAAACTAGTTAGAATCGAATTATTCTCGACGCTCGACGTATAGCTTAACCTGAATAACTGATTTTTATGACGACGGACGCGATTGGACACCAGAAATTTTTTAAACTCGTTTTCTCTGCTCGGTTGTATAAAAGTCTATTTCGAGGATACCGAAAAGCTGTACCCCATTTTTAAAAAGTGGATCGATTCCTTTCTTGTTTAATACGTCACAAACGTCGATTGCGTCTTTTAAAATTCATTAACCAATAACGAATTTCGTTAATTAAATGTTTGATTGGATTACTCGCTCGATGATGCCACGATATTCCCATTGTCGTTAAAGCGAAACGCCATTTTGGTGTAGTTTTCTTTGTTAATCAAATCGCGTGTCAATAACCTCGCAGCAACGGAAAGATTGACGCGTACACTATCAATTCTAAATATCGTTTAGTGCACTTTGAGATGATCGTAAAAATTGATTTCGGT